CGCACGCACGCACGCACGCACGCACACACACACACACACACACACACACACACACACACACACACACACACACACACACACACACACACACACACACAAAAACACAAACACCCAAAACACCCCCAAACCGCCACGCACGCACGCACGCACTGCTACGCCACGCCACGCACGCTTCTCACGCACACACACACACACACACGCACGCACGCACGCACACACCCCGACGCACGCACGCACACACACACACACACGCACGCACGCACGTACGTACGCACGCACGAACGCACACGCACGTGCACACACACACACACACTCACACACACACACACGCACGCACGCACGCACACACACACACACACTCGCACGCACGCGCGCACACACACGCACGCACGCACGCACGCACGCACGCGCGCGCACGCACGCACGCACGCACGCACGCACGCACGCACGCACACACACACACACAACACACACACACGCACGCACGCACGCACGCACGCACGCACGCACGCACGCACACACACACACTGACTTGCACGCACGCACACACGCACGCACACCACACACGCACACACCGATATGGAAACGACGCGACGGGCGGTTTTCATCGCCTCGGCGTGCGGGCGGGCTAGGAGTCTCGGGTGGGGACGCTTCGGGGCGCCTGGGGTTGGGGGGAGGGGGGCTCGAGGTGCCCACGGGCCTTGCGGGTCCCGTGGGGGCTTTCTTGGACCGATGGGAGGGCTTCGCGGTCCGTCCAGAGGCCACATTGGGCCGACCTCGTGGCCGCCAGGGGCCGTCATTGGAGCATCGTGGGCCATTTTGGTTGCGAAAGCTCGGGCCCATGGCAGTTTGCAAGAGGTCGCTGCGGCTGTATCGCGGCTCCGTTGCTTGCTGAGAGGAACAAGTCTGTCGGGGGGGGGGCGCAAACGGCGGCGCGCTGTTCGGGGGGGTGGGGCTGTGAGAATAGTACAGAGCCCGTATCACATTGTTGCGCGGCATTCCATGTCGCTGGTGCGGCGCAGGCGCGGCGGCGGATGCGAAGTTGACCTTGTGTGTCGTACGCGCGGGGGGTAGCTCTGGAGATCGCCGGCCCACTGCTAGAGAGTGGTCGAAACGATGGGAGAATTTTGGCCAACGCCTTCCCGGAGCGGCTCGATTTGCATTTGCACCATTATGTTCCTTTGAATTATACTCGTGACAGGCATCTGTCGAATATTTGCTTTCCCCAGTGCGGCCAGATGCCGCCAGGCGAGCACGCTGAGGGGTGGCTCTCGTCCCGGATCTCCCGAAGTCTTGCCCTCGGCCATCGATTCCTGGTCTGCGCGGCCAGCGCCGAGAAGTGGCCGCCCCGGTGCCGCTCAGGTGGCGGAGGTACGGCGGCGACGCTGGCGTCGACCACGGCTGCCGCGGCGCGCTGGACCGCACTCCCCTCCACGGGGGGGGGGGAATGAGGGGGGGGATCACGATGATGAGGAGGATGAGGACTGGGAGGAGGAGGAGGAGGAGGACGACGACGAGGAGGAGGAGGACGACGAGGAGGAGGAGGAGGACGAGGAGGAGGAGGAGGTGGAGGAGGAGGATGAGGAGGTGGAGGTGGAGGAGTGGGAGGATATCAGCACTGACATCATCCCATTGAGGACACGAGTATGGTCAGATGGTCCAGGCCCATCCAGCTTTCTTTCACATTTTGCCACGTCTGCCTGCACGTACGCTCTTGCTTGGAATTCTTCTCACCCAGAGATGTGTGCAATAACCGTGACTGCGCTGCTTCATGCTCACCCGTTGAACGCCTTGAACGACCAGGAGGAGGGTCGAGGCTCGAGGGTCCAAGGGTATAGTGTTTTGACGTTTGTCGCCCCCCCCCCCCTCTGGTGCTCCTGGAGGTTTCTCGTCGCTATGGCTGAATTTCCTTGGAAGTCCAGGTCGGGGCGCACTATTGGACAGGTTCGATGAGGAGGAAAAGGAGGAGGAGGAGGAGGAGGAGGACGACGACGACGTCGAGGACGAAAACGGAAGAGGAAGACAAGATGGGAGGAAGCGGAAGGACGAGGGGATATCGGATGAGGGATGGGCTTGCCAGTCAATCGGAGCGAGAGCGATTCCTTTCTAAACAGATGAAAGGGAAAGGGGGACAAGGGCGAGAACTGCGTCTTGAACCGCATGGGGCGCTCACGATGCAGTCCGGAGCGCAGCCCAGCTGATCCGTATTGGTCGCTTGTTACGATTTCCGAATGGCGCGATTGCCACCAGAGGTCGACACGGGTTGGCGAGGAACTTCCCGCCCGCTTTCGGCAATGCCGCTGGAGAAGGACCCTCGATGCCGCGGCCGCGTGGGCTCGAGGCGGAGCGGCGAGCGCCGCCGATCCCTCAGCGCGAAGCGCCGGCAGAGTCCTCGCCGAGATGGCCAGGGTGCCGCGCAGGTCACCCGCAGAGCGCGAGGATGGCCGCGCCTCTCGCGGCGCGGGCTGGGCCGAAGAGCTGCCCTTCTCTGGGGGGGCGCGCGAGAGCGCGAAGGCGGCGTCGTCTCGCGCAGCGCAGGCCGCGAAACTGGGTCACCTGGGGCAGGGTGCCGGCCTCAGCAGTCGAGTGGGCGGGCCCACTCCAACCAGCATTTCACCACCCATGGGGGACCCAAAATTATGCACCACCACCGCCCCCCCCCCATCCCTCTCGCTGGAAAGAAGAGAAAGGAGGAATCGACGTGGTGGTGGTGTATATTCTTTGGGTCCCCAACCCACCAACCCACCAAGCCACCCCAGCCCAACCCGAAGGCCTCAGTTTGCCCTCCGTGCGCAGTGTGGAGGGGGTGGGGGGCGGGGGAACAGTTGAAAAACACATGGAGCCCGTACCCCCCAACAACCCGAGGTGCGGGTCAAATTCGGGAACTTCGGGTTGGGTTGGGGTGGTCAGCATTGGCCCCGCCACTCGCGAGCTCAACTGGCTGGTCGGCGCCTGATCTCGGCGCCCCCCCAACATACTTATACTATGTGTTCGTCGCCCCCCCAGGGGCGACGCGCGCACCGAGAAATCTTATAGTATATGCGTCGTGGCGGGCGCTTTCTGGCCACACCGCTCGAGAAACGATCTACTACAAGATGGGTATACTAGATGTTCGGGTCGGGCGCGCGCCTCCAAGGCGGACATACAGTATTATCAGGGCCCCGAATCATCAGGGGTAGCTCGGGTCAGGGCTAAGTCGGGTTCGTGTTTCGGGAATCCAAACCCGAGTTACCCCGGATAACTCGGGCGTCCAGAGCCCCACATCATCAGGGGTAACTCGGGTCAGGGCCAACCCGGGTTCCTTTTCCGGGAATCCGAACCCGAGTTATACCCCGGACCCGAGTTACCCCGGATCACTCGGGCGCCCAGAGCCCCACATCATCAGGGGTAGCTCGGGTCAGGGCTAACTCGGGTTCCTTTCCCGGGAATCCAAACCCGAGTTATACCCCGGACCCGACTTGCCCCGGATAGCTCGGGCGCCCCATACGGTCGGACCGAGGTATAAGATCGAGGTCGGTTCGGGGAGGGTGCCCTAATGTTCTTCGTGGTTGTCGGATGTTCTTGTGTATCTTGGGCGAGGGTACCGTCGAATGTTCTTCAGTTTGGCCGGCGGAGGGTCTCAGGTTCTTGAAGTTTGTTCTTCTGCCTTTGGTCTGGCTGTATCAGTGTCTGTGCGTCCCATGATCGGCACATCGGCTCGCCGGCCGATCCTCCGCCGATCTCGGCCCACCGGCCGGGCTCGAGTACACCGCCCCGCGGTGCCGACGCCCTGCTGGCCCTGGTCGGCGGGGGTGCGCGGGTCCGGCGCGGCTGCTCGGGGGCCAGCGTCTGTCTGATGCTTCACGTCACGTCCGCAGAGTCCATTGTCGGGTCTAACTCAGGAGGGAAAGAAACACACAGACACAATGCATCGTCGATTCCCCAGAAAATAAGGGAAAATATGGGAAGTGGGGGGGAAGACCAAACCACAGAAAAATTGTCGGGTCTAGCTCAGGAGGGAAAGAAACACACAGACACAATTCATCGCCGATGCCCCAGAAAATATGGAAAACATGGGAAGTGGGGGGGAAGACCAAAGCCCAGAAAATATGGGAAAATATGGGGAGTCGGTTGATTTGTGTGTATTTATGTGTGTGTCCTGGGGCCCCTTCACTAACGAAAGGGGGGGATTGGGAAAGGGGGGGTTACGAAATCTGCTGCATGCAGCTGGTTTCGGCCCCACCGACAGGCCCCTTCCTCGATACGTAGCCGCCTCCAGCGCCGGGAGGCGCCGGGCAAATCAGCTGCCGGAGCTGATTCTCAACCCCCCCTTTGCTATCCCCCCCTTTCGCCCAGCCTGACATTGGCTTGGAGTTGGTTCTCGTTGTGCTCGCGCCCGATTAACAATTGCTATCCTGAGGCTTCCTTGCGGCCTGTTGGGCCGTCTTGGGGGCCCCTTGGGGTCCTCCTGGTTCGTCTCGGGGCAGTCGTGGTCGGTCTCGTGGCCGTCTGGGCTAGTTTGGGAAGTTGTTTGTGCCATCTGGAGCCGTCTTGGCGGCGATCCTTGAAAGATATCTCCTCCGTAAAGATTGTATGATGCAAGAACCTCCCGAGGTTGCCCTTCCAGGAGTGCTCCCCGACGCTCCTGTTACCCACACCCTCTTTATAAAACTCTTCTGCCTCCTGCCTCTCCCTCCGTCTCCTCCCCCCTTCCCCCTCTCCGCGCACTGTGGATGCCGGAGGGAGGAGGGGACGAATGAGGGGGGAGGGAGGTGGAGGAGACGGAGGAAGGTGGAGGAGGACAACGAGCAGGACGATGAGAAGGTCCCGGAGGGAGGGAGGAGGGAGAGGAGGGAGAGGGGGATGAGGAGGTGGAGCACGAGAAGGGGGACGAGGAGGACGAGCAGGACAAGGAGGAAGAGGACGCGGTGGGAGAAGGGATGCGGGAGGAGGGGTATGAGGGGGAGGGGGCCACGGAAGAGGAAGTGGCCGCGACGCATCTTCTCGTCCTTCCTGCTCCTGCCGCTCCGGCCCCAGACCCCCCCGGCTGACGGGAGGTTTTGCCCCACTTTCGGCCTCTGGGGGCCCTTACCGGCTCAGAGCCAGAAGCTCGTCCGGGGGAAGGCTTTGCCCCACCCTCGGCCTCTGGGGGCCCTCTGCCGGCTCAGAGCCAGAAGCTCGTCCGGGGGAATGGGTCGAGACCTCGTGGGGGTCGACGCTGCGAGCGAGTCGTGCCGTCGGGTGCCCTGGGGCCGCCGCCGCAGTGCCGCCGCTGCTGCGGCCCGGCCCGGCCCGGCTCCCGGCACTCCGTGCTCCTGCGCTCGGGGGCGGCAAAGAGGGGGGGGATGGCCAGGGAGTGGAGGGGAGGGGATCTCATGGCGGGGGCCATGATATTTCCCCAGACTTCCTGGCGCCTCTTCTCCTTTCATGCCGTCCCTGGCCCCCCCGCTGGGCCGCGCACATGCCGCCGGGCGTGATTTGCACCCCCCCTCTGGACACCCCCCTCTCGGCCGCTCCCGATGCGCACCCGGCGGCCCCGGCCGCTGGCCGAGAGGACCTGGCCATCGACGCCCCGAGCGGCGTCCTGGCGGCCCCGGCCGCCTCGGAGGAGGGCCGCCGCCGGCGGCGGGAGGCGGCACGGCCGCAGTGCCTCGTGCGCGGTCCACTGCTCGCAGAGCGCCTATACTCTCAGGAGGGGAAGAGCACACAGACACAATTCATCGTCGATTCCCCAGGAAATATGGGAGAACATGGGAAGTGGGGGGGGGAGACAAGAAGCCCGGAAACATGGGATTCAGTTGTGTGTCCCGGGGCCCCTTCACGCTCGCCAGCGCCCGAATGACGCATGGCTGCCTCGATGTACTGGATCGTGGCTCCCCTGCGGCGGATCCGTGCCATTTGCGGGTAGTGGACTGTGCGAGCAGTGGAACGGTCTAGGAGTGGATACGGAAAGAATGGGCACGAAGTCCGACCGCAGTCCTTGTTCCTCAGGCTCCCTCGAGTCATGAAAAAATCACGGCGGCAGACGTTTGGCTACTTGGCCTTTGGGGGACCCTTCTTGGGCCCCGGGACTGTCAAAAAACGAATTAGGATGAAGGGCCAGTCCCGGGGAGTGGGTCAAGATTCTGGGGGTCGACGTCATCAAAAAAGCCTGACGTCGGGGGCGTGGGCCATTTCGAACAGGACTCGCTGCCGGTCTTCCCACGGATGCCGGCCATTATAGCCATAAGGCCAGCTGCCTAATTACCAGCGGCCGCTGCCTGTTTGGGACCACACTTGAGCGACCGACGAAGACGGGGTTGATTGCGCCGACACTGGCGCGTAAGCTGCCCGCGTAAAGCCGCGCGTGCGCGCTCTCGCCTCCACGCAGGCGTGCCGTGCTGACGGCCCGCGTCAGCTGCCGCGTAGGGTCGCTGCTGCACAGCGCGCGCAATTAGCGCAGCGGGCGGCGCCTGCGGCGCTGCTGGGAAGCCATGAGCAAGCGGAGCTCCCAGCGCAGAGTGGTAGAGTCCCTCGCTTCTTGAACGTGCTCTGCTGTCCTCCGGCGTCCTTCCCGCAGCTGGCAGCAGCCACAGGGGGCCCTACTCTGGGGCCGCGGTGCCACTCTGAGGACGGCCTGAGGAGGTAGTCTGCTGTCTCAGACAACTGTCCCTCCAGGGGCCGCCGCGGGCCCCGATGCAGGAAGAGGGAGTGTTTTTTCCTCCGCCGCGCCCCTGAGCAAAATATCAGCGGACGCCCGAGCTGAGAACCGCTCGCATGCAGGCATGAGTTCGCACCGCATGTGAGCGGATCTCCGCTCCCAGGTTCGTGCAGGTCTAGGGTCGCGCAGCATTCCCCCGAGAGCCTCAGCATGGCTATGCTACACCGCTGCTGACTCCTATATCCAGCTGTGCAGTCCCAGACACTGGGATGTCGACGCGTGTGATATTAGCTCCTAACGCCACGTGGCGGAATTGCGGATCGGCGGGGACGCTCGGTTTAGTTCTAAAAGGCATTCCACGCGGACCGCTGCATTCCGAGCGTGAGCGACAGCACTCGGGACCGACAGTTTGGGCGTGGCGGCCCGTCCGCGATCGCCAAGAATAAAAGGCGTAAGATGTTCAGTAAATGGTGATCGGTTTCGGAGCGCAGGTTTCTGATCGAATACCTGCTGTGCTCAGTCGTGCTCGCACTGCTGCTGCAGCCGCTGCTATGTACGCTCCCTGACTCACGCTCCGCCTCTTCGGCCAGGCCCCGCGGCCCGTCCGAAGCCCTGTGAGTCTACGAGTTCGTTGGGGCACGGGAGGGCTGGCATCACGAACGTTGAGATTCGCAACAGCCCAAAACGAAGTCTTCAAACATGCGGTGTCGTTCCCGAGGTCGTTGCGCAGCAGAGGCCCCCGTGAAGGGAGGGCGCTTTCGACAAAAGGTTCGACCAATGGTGCCTGCAGACAGGCACGCGCTGTATTTTCAAGGCCTGGAGACCGAAACATTTGGTGAGGCCGGCGCGCATGAGAAAAGGCATGCGCAAGCACTCGCAACTCGATGCGTTCACTGGCTCACTGGGCAGGGCGGCCAACATGATTTGCCGCGCATCCCAAGGTTCGGAAGCCAATGTGGTCTCTGATTCGGGCCATGGCGGGCACAGGGAAGACCTGAGGCCATTTGCCCGTTGCTCGTCGGACCCGACGTGGTCGAGCAGTAGGGTCTCGATCTCCACCCGGCTGCGCAGGGCCGACCCCCTCAAGGAGAGGGCGCGCGTCCTCCAGCTGCCCTGGCCCCCGTGCCAGGCACAGCGACGCGACGTTGTCGCCCCGCATCCTTGGGAGCGGCACCTGCACCACCATGCTCGCGAGGCTCGCCTCCGCGCCCTCCAGCAGGACCACGCTTATCGCCAGGGCCCTGATCTGGGTCTCCGCCGTGGATGTCGACACTTGTGCCTGTTTGATGGAGCGCCAGTCGATGAGGCACCCTCCCAGGTAGACCGCGACGCTGGTCTGGGAGTACTCCGATTCAAGCTGGCGTCAGGGAAGACATGCAGCCCGAGGTCATTCCCATCGCCGCGGGACGCTTCGTAGATCAGCCCATGGCCCAGGGCGGCGCTTGCCAAGGAAACACCGCATGATGCGCTTCCCAAGGCGCAGCGCCCATTGCGACGCAGCGGTCGCATGCGCCGACATCCGGCTGACAGCGAAGGCCATGTCGGTGCGGGTGTGCCCCCTGACAGCCACAGCGTCTCGCCGCCCAGCTTCTGGGCGAGACGCACGTCGCCGAGCTCGGGTTCTGCGTCCAGCTCCTCCGCGAGCGGGGCGATGGAGACGATGCCGCACTCGTTGACGTTCGTCAACTGCCACCAGGCCAAGAGATCCTCCAGGTAGGCATCCTGATGGGCCACGAGCGCCCCGTCGTCCCTCGCCTCCACCTCGAGTCCAAGGTACCTGATCGTGCATGGCTGCGCGCGGTCGATGAGCGATTGGATTGAGCAAGTCCAGGTCGTCATCATTACATCCTCTACTGCCGTGGCCGTCTTAGGTAAGCCGCACAGCAAGAAGTCATCGACGTAGACCAACACCAGGCCTAACGATTTCTGCTCGCTGTCGGTCTTCGTCGGCACGTCCTCCACGATGCTTCAGACGGAGGCGTCGCAGCGCGACTGGTCCAGCCTGCACCTCGTGCCGTCGACCTCGAACCTCAACCGCATCTCTCTGTCCCCCTTCAAGCCCCAAGCTCTGTTGGCGATGCTGAGGTCGTACATGCCTTGCTTGACCCTCCTGGCCTTGTCGTACCCGAGACCTTGCTGGCCTCCTCTGGCAGAGGCGCAGGCAGAAAGGCTGCGGATACGACCAGGCCCTTGAGCGCCCAGCTGCAAGACCTCGCGATCGCGAGCGCTGCTCTGATGCTGAGGATCTCCACGTTGCTCGCGAAGATGGCCTCATCTGGCACCTGCTACTGGCAGTTGCCGCAGACAAGTCTGCGGAATTTCTTGCGCCGCCGCTGCGCCTGATCCGAAGCAGTTGGCGCCATGATTCCAGCAACCCCCTTCATACGGAGGACGTCCTTGGCCCGTATCTGCACCTTCTCGCTCTCAGCGAATGCCTCGAACACTTGTTAGTCTGCAAACAAGGCGAGTTCGGCTTCGACGGTATTTCTTTACTTGGGGCATGACGGGCATCATAGCCCCCGCCCCCCCCAAGGACGTAACGCTCCCCCCCCAGTGCGCTTCGGACACTGCCGCCGTCCGCATCGGGATCCGCATAGGTGTCCACATAGGAATCCGAAGAGGAGTCTGGTCCGCAGTCGTCGTCGTCGTCGTCGTCGTCGTCGTCGTCGTCGTCGTCGTCGTCGTCGTCGTCGCGTCGTCGTCCTCCTCGTCGTCGTCGTCGTCGTCGTTCGTCGCTCGTCGCTCGTCGCTCGTCGTTCGTCGCTCGTCGCTCGTCGCTTGTCGCTCATCGTCGTCGTGCCCGCGGACGCGGCTGGAACCGTTTTTTAATTTCCGGCCGACAGCGGCAATCACCTGGGGGAGGGGGTGGAGGGGGCCGATTGCGCCCGTTTCGCGCCGGCGGCGTCTGGGAATCCGAGGACTGGTAGCAGCAGCATGTAGGTGGCGATCTGCACCACAGCGCCTGTGTACACCACAGTGCCTTCGTGCATCACAGCGTCTGTGTACACCACACCGCCTATGTACACCAAAGCAGCCGCGTGCAACAGAGCGGCAGTGTGTGCCACAGTACAGTGCCTGTGGGCACCACAGCGCTTGTGTATACCACAGCGTTTGCGTACACAACATCAACCGTGCGCATTACAGTACCAGTGGACACCACAATGCCTGCGTGCACTACATCGCCTGTGTACACCATGGCGCTTGTGTGCATCACAGCAGCCGTGTGCAACAGAACACCGCTGTTGCATATAGAATGTTTGTAGGAATCCTTAAGACGAAATGGAGCGCCAGTGGATACCATGGAGAACAACTGCTTCACATAGGAATTGGAAAGGAAAGGAGCGCCGCTGGAATGTACGAGTCCTTCCGAGTCCGCCCGTATCACCCTGATTCCTCCCGTCTGCGTCCAGGAAGCTCCAGCAAAATTGGCCGTCCGAGAACCAAGTGGACCGGTTCAATGGACCATTCTGTGGTGCAGGCTGAGATGCGCACGTGCGCTGTAGCGCCGACCCGCACGACAGGGGGGAAGGGTGAGGGAGGAGGAGGAGGAGGAGAAGGAGGAGGAGGAGGAGGGGATGGAGGAGGAGGACAAGGAGGAGGAGGACAAGGAGGAGGACGAGGGAGGAGGGAAGAACGTCGCATTCTATTATCTGCACTTCCCTGGCGTGGCGTTTAGTTGTCCGCAGCAGATCCTCACCAACATGCTCGTTCTGATTACTTGTCGTGTGCACGCAGGCACCGTGGTGTACACCAGTGCTGCGTTGCACGCGGATGCTGTGGTGCAGACAGGCACTGTGGTGTGCAGAGGCGGTGCGATGCACGCAAGCACTGTGGTGTACGCAGGCGCTGTGTTGCACATGGTTGCTGCGGTGTACATATTCGCTGTGGTGTACACAAGCGCTGTGGTGCACGCAAGCACTGTGGTGTACGCAGGCGCTGTGGTGTACACGCGTGTTGTGGTGCACGCG